TTTAGGGTTAGATCTGTGAGTTAGCCATGCCCTGACTTTGATCAGCCCTGAGGTTGTTTCAGGGTTCAATCTGCGAGTTAGCCGTGCCCTGACTTTGATCAGCCCAGAGGTTGTTTCAGGGTTCGATCCGTGAGTTAGCCATGCCCTGACTTTGATCAGCCCAGAGGTTGTTTCAGGGTTCGATCCGTGAGTTAGCCGTGCCCTGACTTTGATCAGCCCTGAGGTTGTTTCAGGGTTCGATCTGTGAGTTAGCCGTGCCCTGACTTTGATCAGCCCAGAGATTGTTTCAGGGTTCAATCTGTGAGTTAGCCATGCCCTGACTTTGATCAGCCCTGAGGTTGTTTCAGGAAATCGATCAAAGTTTTTTTATTAGGTCTTGTGTTTTTGGTGTTTTTACAGCTTCACCGATCAATCAATTAATTTGTATCAATAAATATATGAGCGAGTTTAACTGCACAAAAAAACCTCCGTCCCGTACTCACCTGATCGAGGTTGTGGTAGCTGTCATGCCAGCTGTCATCGCTAAAGAAAAAAACAAAAAAGTTTTAAAAAGGTAGAATTAAGCTGATAAGCTCCAAGACTTTAAAACAACATCAGAATTAATGTTTTAGGTTAAGTGGTATCTAACGGGGGAAAAAGACGAAGGGGTGGGTAGGACAAGGACAAGGACAAGGACAAGGACAAATACATCCTTACCTGTGTACCAGGAAAGCTTGAAGCAGCGCTACAATGACAATGAACACTGTCATCATGATTGACTGAACCAATAGTATATTCGTGCACACACGTTCTCTAGTGAACCCAAGTAGGGAGTGAATTATCGTGACTTTTGGACGTGATTTATATACGTTTAAGTCATAAACTTGTATTTGTATGAACAAACTTGTGTACAAACTTTGTTTATACAAACATTTGTTCAAGCGTGTGAACATGAAGTGACTCATAAAATGCGAAAAACCTTGAAAAATTGAGCCTAAAAATATACATTTTCAAATATTTTCAATGGTATTGTGCATTCTATTGAATATGGAATATCAGTCAAGGTCAAACCTCTTATTTCACTGGACAAACTACACCACTCAGTTAAAAGCACTGGATGACAAAACGTTTGTTTAAAATTTTTAATTAGTTTTCACAAAAACATTTTAAAATTACCTTCATACATGTGTACACAAAAGTTTAATCTAATATTGCGTCCATTTGCACAACCTTGCCAGTACACAAGGCTGGACACACATTATGCAGTTAATTAAGACAAAAACAGCTCTGATAATACTGATGTCAAGTCTTGTTCGTGCGGAGAATCACACGCTATAATCTCTTGAAATAATTCTCGTCCATTAGAATACAGTTGTACAGGAATTTTAGAAGGGGGGGGGGGGATGGCTATTACTAACGAAATATTGAGAAGTGTGAGCAAAAGGGGGTGACCCTCATCACCATCCCTGGATCCGCCCCTGGATAGCATGCGTGAGACCGACTATAACTCTGGTTACGACCATCTTAACCAGAGTAAAATGGGACTTCACGCATGCTATCTTATGTATGTGCCGTACGTGTATCATTACCGGGGTGGAGTGGCGCAATTAGAATTAAGATCCCTATTTTATGAATAATGTTGACAAAAAAGTCGAACAGTTGGAGACTGAATTGATAATTGTTCTATGTCGAAATACTATACGATCTTCTATTTTAAAGTTTAAAAAAAATGTATTTTGATCTATATCATTATTCCGTGAAATTGTGAAGTATTATAAAAAGGAAAACGTAAATTCAAGATTAATTTATTATATGAAAATACCGTTGTGGAGAGCACTGTTGCTTTTTTCATTTGCAAATCATCCTTAACTGAAATATATGGCTTTGTACACTTGTAGGTTATTTCACTTCAGAACAATTGTCCTAAGGTACACTGCAAAATGTAAAACATTCTTGAATTTACGTCATCTCATTTGCATATTGATATTTCAAAGGTTTATATCTCTGAAAATGTGAGTCCACATACAAAAATACTGCAACCATACTACTACACTGTTAGTCACATATAAGTGATTTTGAAAATAACATGTTTTTCTTGTTATACACTATAAACAAAGACACACCATAACTAAAGTAAAAGTACAATGACAATTCTAATGATGCTAGAATAAAAATCTGCGAAACGACATTCAAAATAGCAAGCTAAAATAAAAATATACTTCAGTAGGTAAGCTCTTCTCGGACACGGAAAACCAAATTTCGGATCCTTTTTTTCTAATTAACCTTGGAAAGGAGTATTAGGATTCAATGAATGAAGTATGACGAGTTTACAAAGCTGTTTCAACTGAAGTTTGATTAAAGTAATTTTTAGCTGTCAGTTAAGGGCATTATTGAAGGGAATGAAAAGAAATTGATTTAATTTGATTATGTATGATTTCAAACTGTCAATCTCTTTTTACCATTAGATTTGAAGTTAGGGGTTTGAATTTAGGGAGGTTATTGTCTCAAGGGAATTCCCCAGCGATTAAGAATGAACTGAGAATGGAAAAGAATGATTAAAAAAAAGAAATGAGAAAGAAAGAGAAAACAGTCGAAGAAGGAAAGAAAGTAGGATTGACAGAAAGAAAGAGAAAGAGAAAGAGAAAGAGAAAGAGAAAGAGAAAGAGA